CTCGTCGAGTCCTGGTCCCCCCCCCCTCGTCAAGTCCTGGTCCCCCCCTCGTCGAGTCCTGGTCCCCCCCCCCTCGTCAAGTCCTACACCCCCTCGTCAAGTCCTGGTCCCCCTTCGTCAAATCCTGGATCCCGTCGTCAAGTCCTAGACCCCCTTGTCAAGTCCTGGTCCCCCCCCTCGTCGAGTCCTGGTCCCCCCCCCTCGTCAAGTCCTGGTCCCCCCCTCGTCGAGTCCTGGTCCCCCCCCTCGTCAAGTCCTAGACCCCCCTCGTCAAGTCCTAGACCCCCCTCGTCAAGTCCTGGACCCCCTCGTCAAGTCCTGGTCCCCCCCTCGTCAAGTCCTGGTCACCCCTCGTCAAGTCCTGGACCCCCTCGTCAAGTCCTGGTCCCCCCCCTCGTCAAGTCCTGGTCACCCCTCGTCAAGTCCTGGACCCCCTCGTCAAGTCCTGGTCACCCCTCGTCAAGTCCTGGTCACCCCTCGTCAAGTCCTGGTCACCCCTCGTCAAGTCCTGGACCACTCGTCAAGTCGTAGACCCCCCCTTGTCAAGTCCTAGACCCCTCCCCCGTCAGCCCTTGGACCCCTTCCTCAGGTCCCAGAACACTATTGAGTGGTGACAAATAACAAATAACTGAGCTTGGAACTTTAATATTCAAGAGCATTTTATTTAACCTCTTCGAGTGTCGGCTTTGAAGTAAGTTCTTTAACCCCTTTTTTTAAATGACTAAGAAAAATGTCGACGTCTAAGGAATACTTTTATCCCGCCTGTGGCAGAATTGGGTCACTGTGCAAAAAAAATATTTAAATTAAAGTCAGGCGCAAAAGGCTTTTTTTTTTATTGTTTGAGACTTTTTTAAGTTTTAGGCCTACAGAGAAGAACAAATGTGCCTTTTACAAAGCTGTTTCGATTCGACGAGTACTTAAGTGTTAGAATGACGTACATATTAGAGGTAAGACCATTGCATTTATTTCACATATGAAGGAGTTTGGGTTGGCGGAGTTGCCTCGTATGGGTCAATAGGCATTCTGACGTTTCCTTTATTTGTTTGGTCTTAAACAGTTTAAGGAGAGACACTTCTCCACATCTTCGTAGAACTCAAAATGTTGGCTGCTGCGGCGCCATTCACTTTTGCTGTTGCATGATTGTTTTCTGCATGACCGCAGATATTGCTTGAAGCACAGAACCATTGTCTCGCTAGAACTGTGAGTCACCAGGACAACAAGAAAGCATAATTTTAACACTAAACGATAGATTAATAGATAAACTATTGACAAAAGTGTTGGAAGTTTTCATTCCATTGGCAATGATAATGAAAATAGGAATAATAAATAAATTAATGCATAGCGAGGTAGAGGAAATAATTGAAGTGTTTAATGTGAATAATACATATGATAATTAAATCATTATTGCGTGTAAAAATAACTATGATCGAGCAATAATTGATGATTCATTTCCTATCACCGCCTGCGTAGGATAGCTGAATGGCCAGCTCATCGATGTGGATCTTACTTGGGCACGTGACTGGTTGACGACACCAGGATCAGGGCGACGTGGTAGTGTGTGACTTCATCTCCTGCAGAAGCACGTCTCTCTCTCGCTCCTGACGGTGGAGACGAGACCTCTGGTTCCTGACGGCGGAGACGAGACCTCTCGCTGCTGACGGAGGAGACGAGACCTCTGGTTCCTGACGGTGGAGACGAGACCTCTCGCTGCTGACGGAGGAGACGAGACCTCTGGTTCCTGACGGCGGAGACGAGACCTCTCGCTCCTGACGGCGGAGACGAGACCTCTCGCTGCTGACGGCGGAGGGAAGATTCCCAGCACGACACACCGTAACGATCCTCTTCCTGACGGAATTTAATTTCGGAATTCCACCTTTAGGACAAAATTTCGGTAAAGGAATTCCGCTCTCGTCCTATTACAATAGACATGAGTTCTTCCGTCTTGCCCAGGGAGTTGTTGAGGGCGGGGCAGGGGGTCCTCCCCAGGGGTGTGGTGGGGTGGAGTGGGGCGCCCACGTGGGTGTGGTGGGGTGGAGTGGGGTGCCCACATGAGTGTGGTGGGGTGGAGTGGGGCGCCCACGTGGGTGTGGTGGGGTGGAGTGGGGTGCCCACATGAGTGTGGTGGGGTGGAGTGGGGCGCCCACATGAGTGTGGTGGGGTGGAGTGGGGCGCCCACTTGGGTGTGGTGGGGGTGGAGAGGGGCGCCCACATGGGTGTGGTGGGGTGGAGTGGGGCGCCCACATGGGTGTGGTGGGGTGGAGTGGGGCGCCCACATGGGTGTGGTGGGGTGGAGTGGGGCGCCCACATGGGTGTGGTGGGGTGGAGTGGGGCGCCCACATGGGTGTGGTGGGGTGGAGTGGGGCGCCCACACACACACACACACACAAGGATGTGGTTGAGAGGCGAGACTTCAGTGGAAGGTATGTGAAGGTGGTATGTGAATTCAGGCCCTGTATATGGTCGGTCACATATAGGGGCTGACGCAGTGTGTATGGTAGACTTTACCGTGGGAGTTCGTGGGAGACCAGAGGCTAGACTCCCATTGGGTGAAGATGGTGACAAAGATGAGCAATGTATAGAGTCTAATGGTAGAAATGGGTGGAGTGTGGTAGAGGCCATTCACCACAAAAATAATGTGTTGTTAATGGTTTGCAATGGAAGGGGTTTTTGGGTAGCTCGAGGAGAATTGAGATTGTGGTGGAGGTGGTTGTGGTGGAGATGGTTGTGGTGGAGGGGGGTGTTGTGGTGGGGGGGGGGAGGTTGTGGTGTTTAGGGTTGGCCAAATGTGTTAACCTTTGCCACTCCGTAATACTACAACCGTTCTGCCTAACCAAAAACGTACCAACCCAAGCAACCCCCTTAACCCGTCGAGGGTGCTGCATAGAAAGCGTCAATATTACGGTGCTTCATATTTTACAAATCGCTTTTGTAACGATTTGGTCGATTCCGTTGAAAATGCGACGCATTTAGCGAACGGACGGGATGATGAGATGTGGGGGACATAATTCAAGAAAATGTAATAAATTATAATCCTTTATAAGAGGAAATGACAATTGAGTAAAATCAAATAATTAAAATGTTAAGAAAATATTACAAGAAAATGTAAAACGCAATTACATAGAAAATTACGGTCAAACGAGGAAATAATAGTTGGCACGTTATAGGGTATGAGGGATGAGAAGTGCTGGCACTCGAAAGAAAATTACAATTCAAAACTAAACGTTTTCCCAGAAAGTTCAGGAAAAATAAGATTCAGACCACCAGGGAGGGAAGAAGAAGCGGGGGCACCATGTTGTTGTTGTTAAAGATTCGCTACCTGGAACTAAAAGATCCAAGTAGCACGGGCTATGGTGAGCCCGTAGTGGAGTAAAGGGGGGCACCAGCTGAGTAAGGTAGAGAGTGGGAGACGGGGAGCACGTCCAGCGTGGGGGGGTTAGGTAACAGGGGGGGCCGGGGGTCAGGGGGCCCACCTGTAGGTCAGGGCGTGGGGGGTAGGGGTTCCCTCATGAAAGGGGTACAGTGGGGGGGGGGAGGCACAGTAAAGCTCTTCAAATACTGTTTATCGTGACCATTAGCTGCCCCGTAATACTTTATGTAATGGTTCAAATAAATGTGATTGAACTTCGAACCAAATTTTATCCTTAACGACAAAATCAACAATAATTAATAGCCCTGTGAACACAAAATATTTTAGCTTGAATACAATGTAAACAGACGTGAATGTTCTTGCGCTGTTGCTTGTTGCTCGCAAGTTCATTGTTTGCGTAAAGACTTGTATGATTGTTGTTTAACGACCACTTGGGTTGGACGGTAGAGCGACGGTCTCGCTTCATGCAGGTCGGCGTTCAATCCCCGACCGTCGACAAGTGGTTGGACACCATTCCTTCCCCCCCCCCCCCCGTCCCATCCCAAATCCTTATCCTGACCTTCCCAGTGCTATATAGACCTAATGGCTTGGCGTTTTCCCCTGATACTTCCTTTCCCTCCTTCCTTGTTGTTTAACGACATAATTGTATTATGATGAATGTGTACTGTATTATCACCTCCTGTATGGTGAGTCTTGAGTGACGATTAGGAGGTGTTTGGGAGACTTTTTAGTGAGATTATGAAATGGTAAACAAATTTGTGAGAAGCCTTTAATGTCTTGTGGATGGAGTCGAGTCATGTAATTCCTTTTTCCGGGGACTGGAAGCCTTTACTTAGGGTAATTTATATCGAGATCTCTCATTGGTCGAATTACTGATCTTTGCAACGATGCCACACACAACAGTTACCTAACTCACGGATACCTATTTACTGCTAGGGGAACAGAGGCATCAGGTGAAAGGAAACGTGCCAAATCATCTCTGTTTCCCCTCTCCCGCCCGGGTATCGAACTCTGTATCCCCGATTGTGAGCCGAGAACACAGACTCCAGCGGTGTGCAATTTTCCACTAGTTGGAGAAATTCTAGAGTTTTTTTCCATGTATCGTAATCATATTTATTATATATATATCGAGGAAAGATCAAAATTTTTAGATGTGTATTGATCTGGAGTGCGAGTAATCGTATGTATGTGTACAAGAAACGTATTTAACCCAGTTTGCAAGCAGCACAGCAGGAACACTTACGCACACACGTCACAACACGTGTATTAAGGCAGCGCCTGGGATGCTCGCAGACGTAGGTTCGAATCTTCGTCACGGCCCTTGTGGATTTGTTCAGACATGTCACTTGCCACCAGTGGTTATAACAACCAAAGCCAAGTGGGAGGTTCGCAGAAACATGGAGGGACCCATAATTTGATTATTCTCACTGATAATTGGTTGTTTCATCGCCCATTATATAGTAATAGTAGGCAACCCCATTATATATATCGCTTGGAATAACAAGTGGATATACTTACCAATTCCTGGCAGTAAGGAAGATACGGGCTCATTGGTCTGGTGAAATAAGAGAGTGGAGACACTTACTATTGCTCTATGGGAGAGATGGGGGTTGCGGCGGCAAGATGGACTTACCGATCTTCTGGAGGAAGGCGGCGTAGTTGTTGTGGACCACCGGGTCTGAGGGCCGGGCAGCTAAGAGTGCCAGGTGGAGGCTCTCGGCCTCCGTGGAGCGTCCGGCCTCGCTGTAGAGTCCAGCCAGGGCCGACACCGCATCCCTGTTGGTAGGATCGTAGCGCAGACTCTCCTCCAGCAGCGTCACCGCCTCCACCATGCGACCCTGCTGCCTGGTGGGGGAAGGAGGGGGATGTGGGAGACAGAGTTAGAGAGGATTATCTTCCAGTAACACTCCCAGGTCCTGACTAAGTGCTATAGTGTTCGTTGGGGGTTGAAAGGCAGGACGAGCTGGTGGGAGGAATTCCCTGTCACCAGCACCCTTTTTCAGACGGTTAAATAATTCAGATACCTAACTGCCTGCAACGTGAAACAAAACAAACGGGGGCTGAATTTGGTAGGAGCGAAGCTGGCCAAATTCTCAAGGGTGTATATTTTTCTGTAACGATCTGCAGGCCAGCAAGACGGCGCTCACGTTCACTCTCGCATTTGTTCCTTATCAGGAAAAACGCTGTGCAGTGTGTGTGTGTGTGTGTGTGTGTGTGTGTGTGTGTGTGTGTGTGTGTGTGTGTGTGTGTGTGTGTACTCACCTAGTTGTGTTTGCGGGGGTTGAGCTCTGGCTCTTTGGTCCCGCAAAGGACCAAAGAGTGTGTGTGTGTATGTGGGTGTCCGCGCTCTTCTGCCCACAACTTATACCTCCTAATGTACAGGAGCATTTATCTGACGCATAGGATATATGCTCCATGGGGTATCTCGCACCCTATTTCTGTGTTAAATCACGAACCAGCAAACGAATAGGAATAGGATTATTAACGTATTTTGGAATGAAAACGGAACGACGTCGCAAGGTGTCAATATACTTTCCCTAGAAGCCTAACCTCCCCACTCCCCCCTCTCAACCCCAACAAGTCTCCAGTCCCCCCCCTCTCCCATAAGTCGCCAGTACCACTACCATATCATATAGGATCACTGAAAATTAATTAAAGGGCGTTTTCAATTTAAATTTAGTTTAACTTTTTATGGTAAGTTGTTCTTTGTTAGGGACAATATTCCTGATATTATTATATTTTAGCGACTGTGGTTTCTTTATGAAGTTGTTTTATTATGATTACAGAAGCAGGACACACTGAAAAAAACACCTGTGACTACCGACCTTCCACAGCGAAACGTCTGTGATTACTGAGCTATCACGGATAAACAACTGTTTCAACAAGATAGGTCAGTAGTCACAGGTGTTCCTCACTCAGCCTCTATTCGCCTTGTCTCTGGCGCTGACTCTGAATAATTCCCCCACTCTGTATCATATTAGCATGCAGGAGGTCATTACAGGACTTCTCGGCGGTGTAACTTGATTACTAAGGAATAATGTCTTCCCCGCTAATGGCTGTGTGATGGTCAAGTTCACTCTCGGTGTTACACATGAAAGGACTTCCTTACACACACACACACACACACACACACACACACACACACATACAAGGGGACACAGGTGGAAACTGAGTACCCACATGAGCCACAGAGACGTTAGAAAGAACTTTTTCAGAGTCAGAGTAGTTAGCAGATGGAATGCATTAGGAAGTGATGTGGTGGAGGCTGACTCCATACACAGTTTCAAATGTAGATATGATAGAGCCCAGTAGGCTCAGGAATCTGTACACCAGTTGGTTGACAGTTGAGAGGCGGGACCAAAGAGCCAAAGCTCAACCCCCGCAAGCACAAATAAGTGAGTACACACACACAAGCACTGTTACTTTATCTTATTACATCTTGGCGTACTAACACCCTGCCACAAGCGACAGTAAAATGAGTCTCCACATGCTGATTATACCTAGCTGGGCTGGCCGCTGAAATTGTCCATTCTCACTTAAATTCATCTATACCAACAAGAGTTGTACTCACCTAGTTGTGCTTGCGGGGGTTGAGCTCTGGCTCTTTGGTCCCGCCTCTCAACCGTGTCACAAACGGTTGAAGAGTGTCAGAAGAGTGTGTCTGTGCGTGCCCAAGTGCCCAGGCCAGATGTTTTGGGCTAGCCTCACAAAAAAATTGCAGAGGGGGGGGGGTGTAGGTTGGGTAGGTCAAAAGTAAACACTAAGAAATATTATTAATTATAGACACCCCTCTGTCCCTCAGGCGATTTTCGTGGTCAAGTGTGAAATATATAGTGTGATTTCCGTAGAGTTTGGTGTTTTTTTAATGTTTTTTTCCCGAGAGAAGGGGAAGTCTGGGAAACAGGGAGGGGGAAGGGGGAGGAGGATGAGGGGGAAGAAAGAAAAAATACGAAAAAAATAAATGGAAAACGGAGAAAAATATATTAGAAATCATAGACCCATACATTTGTTTCATTGCTTCTTAATAATCCATTTTCTGAGAGGAGAGAGAGAGAGAGAGAGAATGGGGACGAGGAGGGGAAATGGAGTCAACAGTGGGGAGAGGATGAAAGAGGGAGGAAGAGACCCGGGAACCCCTTCTATATAAATAAATGAAAATTGTCAGTTGGAGGGGGGAGGGGTACGGAAATGGGAGTGAAGGGGGGATGGGGATAACGGTTAAGATGAGTGGGAAGAGGGGAGGAGGAAACTGGGGAGGGGAAAAAGAGGGAGAGATGAGTGGGATAGGAGAATAGGAGACGAAGGCGACTATCCTGGACACGGGCTGGTACTCATCCAAGTAGACTCATCATAATACTTGAAGGCTTAAGAAACATGTTATTCAAGTACCCAAAATAAAGTCTGAATCACAAGAAAGTGAAACTCCCGACCTTATCAAGAGTCGTAAAGATTCCCGTTTTCCCACCTGCAAATGTCGTCTTTCTGGCTTGGAGCCCTGGTCGAGGACCGGGCCGCGGGGACGCTAAGCCCCGAAATGATCGCAAGGTAAGGTACCTTGCCAGAGAGGGAGGATCCTCAGAGCTTAGTGTCTGCTGGAAATTGTCGCGTCTCGTAATTTGTTCATGCCTATTTCCCTCACAAGGAAGATGACCCAGTAGACGACCATTCAGGGAAACAGCACCATAATGATATATTTCCTGACATCAGGGGCCAAATTCACGAAGCAGTTACGCAAGTACTTACGAACGTGTACATCATTTCTCAAACTTTGGCTGCTTTGTTTACATTTATTAAACAGTTTAGAAGCATGAAAACTTCCCAATCAACTGTTGTTATTTCAATAAACAGCCTCCTGGTGCTTCGGAGCTCATTAACTGCCTAATAATTGTAAACAAAGCCGCCAAAGATTGAGAAAAGATGTGCAGGTTCGTAAGTGCTTGCGTAACTGCTTCGTGAATCTGGCCCCAGGTTACTAGCCCTTCCAGGATTATATCAGAGTATCATATTTGACGAATTCCCTGCAACTTTGCATTGATTGTTTGGCCTAAGATCGCTACTAATCACGATTTGCTAGATCTTTCACCCAATCAGACTTTGCTATGTCAATTTTGTTGACCAGACCACACACTAGAAGGTGAAGGGACGACGACGTTTCGGTCCGTCCTGGACCATTCTCAAGTCGATTCAACATACTTTAGCCACGTTATTGTGACTCATCGCCTGCATTTGCTATGTCAACATTGTCCAGCTCGATTTGGGAACTCTATGCTCAAAACCCTTCATTTTTCTGCATTAAACTGCACCTGTCAATCTTTTCAACCCTTTACAGTTGTTAAGGCTCCACCAACTGACTCGAACGTCCTCGTCCTTCCTCCTGCACTCGCGAGGGAGGAGAATGTTGGGGACAGAGAAGTGGCGACAGACCTTTTTTTTTGTCAAAACTCCATTTAGCACTGCCAGACGCAAAATGTTGCCTAATTCAATTTTGGAATCGCTATACATATTTGGCACTCTGTGTGGCGTAATTACAGGCATCAAGAAGGGTCTGCACTCGTCTTCAGAGTCAAACAACAAGTTCGCCACGCACAACGGGATGGCCACGCACAACGGGATGGCCACGCACAACGGGATCGCCACAAACGGAGTCGCCACAAACAACGGGTTGGCCACAAACAACAAAGGCTCACTTTTGACCCTTCGACATTAACAAGACAATGTATACAAATATACGGGAGGAACTTCGTAACAGGCTTTGTGGGGTTGTCTCATCCCTTTTAAATTTAAAAATTGTATTTTCACAGACGGGACAGAGAAAGAGGGAAGGAAAGAGGGGAGGGAGGGGGGGTACAACTGAGGGAGAGGGAAGGGAGTCATATACAATTGAGGGATAGGGAGAAGGGAGTTCATGTAACTGTAGTAGAGGGAAGGGGGGTTCATTGAACTCTGACGTATAGTTAAAATTTTATACAATATAAATATTGTGCAATTCAAAGCCTCATACATACGTCAACTGTGATATATGTGATATTATGTTGTAATATAAACATTTCTATATAAATTTTGGTATTTAGACCTTGTAATTTGTTTATTTTCCTCTCTCACATTATATAATATATATATATATATATATATATATATATATATATATATATATATATATATATATTTATGTAGCCAGCAGCTGTAACCACCAAGCTACTGAACGAACCACAAAGAGAGTGGCCCTTGAAGATGCGCAACTGGTATCCAATTGAGACTTGAGTGCCACTTGAGCACAGAGGCATTAGGTGATCTACCTCCCGGGCATGTGAATGTGCTCAGTGGCACCCCAGGGGGGGGGGGGGCAGGCCTTAAATGCCAAAATGGATTCCAGTTGTGTATCTTTTGAGATCCTTTCATATTGTGGTGTGTTCAGTAGCTCAGTGGCTCAACCGTTCTGTTGGTCGGTCGTTCGAGGCTCCACATTTCCACATTCATTCTGGTTATATATATATATATATATATATATATATATATATATATATATATATATATATATATATATATATATATATATATATATATATATATATATATATATATATATGAACCTTTAGTTAACTGCCCCGTCTTTCCCTCCCCTGGTGCAGGCGGAAGATATAAGTGTACTCTTATTTTTTTTAGCTTTTTTAGACAATCCCTTTTCACTCCAGTTATTTAAATAGATGATATCGGATTCGATACCAGTTTGACCCAAGTGGGAATATCTGGCCATCCGCGGCCGGATGCAGCGATAACGAAGTGTGTAAACCCGTGTATTGCCGGCTCCCCACCTCAGTCTGATTGCAATAAGGAAGCTGATTATATTACAACCAAACTTAATGCAATTCCCGTCTCGTCTTGAAGGCAGGTTTTGTCACTGAGAATATTTATGTTATGGGGGGAATAACATAGAATATTTATAGAATATTATTGTCCTCTGAATTTGTTTTTTGTTTATTTTTATTTACTAATGGAATTACTTCTACAAATGTGATTGGATTTACACACAAAGTCTCACACAAAGCGGTGCTTCCATAAAACCTCGGATGAGTTTGAATATCAGCAATTTCGGTCATTTATTAGGAAATCATAGCGCTTTGAACAATGAAATGCAGCCTTTGAACTTTATATAGGCGTAGACTGGGGATTATTCGTGCATGTTTATATACTGCTTTGGTTTATATATATATATATATATATATATATATATATATATATATATATATATATATATATATATACATATATATATATACACACACACTAAAAGAATAGGGGTGGTAGGGGAAGAAAATAAAGTGTTCAGTGAGGATCCACAAGGTCTTCTCTGAGTACTCATTATTTTCTTCTCCGAGGCAATGGGTCCCTACACTTGCACCAGAGGTGGTACCCCTTTAAGGTTTACATATATATATATATATATATATATATATATATATATATATATATATATATATATATATATATATACTTGAAAGTTCAAAATGCCCTAAGCCGAGTGCTGTACCACTGTACCACCGACGAACAAAAAGCATGGGAGAGTTTTTTGAACTCATTTAACCCCATGCCCGAGTAACCCCATGCCCGAGTGAATTCGGGTTAGGTGGTCAAGTATTTCACCTAGTCCAAGTTTAAGCCACAGACCATAAGGTAAGGGAATCGAAGGGTTCCTTAGCCAGAACCGCACTACTTGGCCTAGTATGCAAGAGGCCAATTTGGCTAACAGGCAGAGTGATTTTTGTTATTTTCAACTATTTCTTTTCAAATTAGTTTGTTCTAATTATTTTATTATACTAAGAACATGAATTACTGACGTAGTTGGTGCAGGTGTGTAGCATATGTGTAAATGATGTGTATTGTGGTGGGTGGACTGTGTACCATACAACGGTGTAACTGTGTACCATACAGCGGTGTAACTGTGTACCATACAGCGGTGTAACTGTGTACCAAACAACGGTGTAACTGTGTACCAAACAACGGTGTAACTGTGTACCAAACAACGGTGTAACTGTGTACCATACAACGGTGTAACTGTGTACCATACAGCGGTGTAACTGTGTACCAAACAGCGGTGTAACTGTGTACCAAACAGCGGTGTAACTGTGTACCATACAACGGTGTAACTGTGTACCATACAACGGTGTAACTGTGTACCATACAGCGGTGTAACTGTGTACCATACAACGGTGTAACTGTATACCATACAACGGTGTAACTGTGTACCATACAACGGTGTAACTGTGTACCATACAACGGTGTAACTGTGTACCATACAACGGTGTAACTGTGTACCATACAACGGTGTAACTGTGTACCATACAACGGTGTAACTGTGTACCATACAACGGTGTAACTGTGTACCATACAACGGTGTAACTGTGTACCATACAACGGTGTAACTGTGTACCATACAACGGTGTAACTGTGTACCATACAACGGTGTAACTGTGTACCATACAGCGGTGTAACTGTGTACCAAACAACGGTGTAACTGTGTACCAAACAACGGTGTAACTGTGTACCATACAACGGTGTAACTGTGTACCAAACAACGGTGTAACTGTGTACCATACAACGGTGTAACTGTGTACCATACAACGGTGTAACTGTGTACCATACAACGATGTAACTGGGTACGATACAACGGTGTAACTGGGTACGATACAACGGTGTAACTGTGTACACCTCCTGTGAGGTGTACAAATTGTGTTCCTACGAGGGGGCCTCGTAGCCTGGTGGATAGCGCGCAGGACTCGTAATTCTGTGGCGCGGGTTCGATTCCCGCACGAGGCAGAAACAAATGGGCAAAGATTATTTCACCCTGAATGCCCCTGTTACCTAGCAGTAAATAGGTACCTGGGTGTTAGTCAGCTGTCACGGGCTGCTTCCTGGGGGTGGAGGCCTGGTCGAGGACCGGGCCGCGGGGACACTAAAGCCCCGAAATCATCTCAAGATAACCTCAAGATGGGGCGTGGAGGGAGCAGACAGTCAGCCATTATCACGTATCTGCTGTAAGAGGTTAGCCAGAAAGCAGCGGTCACAAAAGATGGTGTAACTTAAGTATCACTTACTGTAACTTAAGTATCACTTACTGTAACTTAAGTATCACTTACTGTAACTTAAGTATCACTTACTGTAACTTAAGTATCACTTACTGTAACTTAAGTATCACTTACTGTAACTTAAGTATCACTTACTGTAACTTAAGTATCACTTACTGTAACTTGAGTATCACTTACTGTAACTTAAGTATCACTTACTGTAACTTAAGTATCACTTACTGTAACTTAAGTATCACTTACTGTCTGAGGTTGGCCAAGTTGTAGTAGGCGTGGGCGTGGTGAGGGTGGGCCTTGAGGGCCATCCGGAAGTGGTTCTCGGCCTCCGAGGTGTCGTTAAGAAGTGTGCCCAGGTTGTTGTGGGCGCTCGAGTGCCCCGGCCACAGTCTGAGGGAGAGAGCCAGAGGTCAGCACCTAGAGGGAAGAGGTCAGCACCTGGAGGCCAGAGGTCAGCACCTAGAGGGAAGAGGTCAGCACCTGGAGGCCAGAGGTCAGCACCTAGAGGGAAGAGGTCAGCACCTTGGAGGCCAGAGGTCAGCACCTGGAGGCCAGAGGTCAGCACCTAGAGGCCAGAGGTCAGCACCTGGAGGCCAGAGGTCAGCACCTAGAGGGAAGAGGTCAGCACCTGGAGGCCAGAGGTCAGCACCTAGAGGGAAGAGGTCAGCACCTGGAGGCCAGAGGTCAGCACCTAGAGGGAAGAGGTCAGCACCTAGAGGGAAGAGGTCAGCACCTTGGAGGCCAGAGGTCAGCACCTGGAGGCCAGAGGTCAGCACCTAGAGGGAAGAGGTCAGCACCTGGAGCCAGAGGTCAGCACCTGGAGGCCAGAGGTCAGCACCTGGAGGCCAGAGGTCAGCACCTGGAGGCCAGGGGTCAGCACCTGGAGGCCAGGGGTCAGCACCTGGAGCCAGAGGTCAGCATCTGGAGGCCAGGGGTCAGCACCTTGGAGGCCAGAGGTCAGCACCTGGAGGCCAGAGGTCAGCACCTTGGAGGCCAGGGGTCAGCACCTGGAGGCCAGGGGTCAGCACCTGGAGCCAGAGGTCAGCACCTGGAGGCCAGGGGTCAGCACCTGGAGGCCAGGGGTCAGCACCTGGAGGCCAGAGGTCAGCACCTGGAGGCCAGAGGTCAGCACCTGGAGGCCAGGGGTCAGCACCTGGAGCCAGAGGTCAGCACCTGGAGGCCAGGGGTCAGCACCTGGAGGCCAGGGGTCAGCACCTGGAGGCCAGGGGTCAGCACCTGGAGCCAGAGGTCAGCACCTGGGGGCCAGGGGTCAGCACCTGGAGGCCAGGTGTCAGCACCTGGAGGCCAGGGGTCAGCACCTGGAGCCAGGGGTCAGCACCTGGAGGCCAGGGGTCAGCACCTAGAGCCAGAGGTCAGCACCTGGAGGCCAGGGGTCAGCACCTGGAGCCAGAGGTCAGCACCTGGAGGCCAGGGGTCAGCACCTGGAGGCCAGGGGTCAGCACCTGGAGCCAGAGGTCAGCACCTGGAGGCCAGGGGTCAGCACCTGGAGGCCAGGGGTCAGCACCTGGAGGCCAGGGGTCAGCACCTGGAGCCAGGGGTCAGCACCTGGAGGCCAGGGGTCAGCACCTGGAGCCAAAGGTCAGCACCTGGAGGCCAGGGGTCAGCACCTGGAGCCAGAGGTCAGCACCTGGAGGCCAGGGGTCAGCACCTGGAGGCCAGGGGTCAGCACCTGGAGCCAGAGGTCAGCACCTGGAGGCCAGGGGTCAGCACCTGGAGGCCAGGGGTCAGCACCTGGAGCCAGAGGTCAGCACCTGGAGGCCAGGGGTCAGCACCTGGAGGCCAGGGGTCAGCACCTGGAGGCCAGGGGTCAGCACCTGGAGGCCAGGGGTCAGCACCTGGAGGCCAGGAGTCAGCACCTGGAGGCCAGGGGTCAGCACCTGGAGGCTAGAGGTCTTTATATATATATATATATATATATATATATATGTCGTACCTAGTAGCCAGAACGCACTTCTCAGCTTACTATGCAAGGCCCGATTTGCCTAATAAGCCAAGTTTTCCTGAATTAATATATTTTCTCTATTTTTTTTCTTATGAAATGATAAAGCTACCCATTTCCTTATGTATGAGGTCAATTTTATTTTATTGGAGTTAAAATTAACGTAGATATATGACCGAACCTAACCAACCCTACCTAACCTAACCTAACCTATCTCTAAAGGTTAGGTTGGGTTAGGTAGCCGAAAAAGTTAGGTTAGGTTAGGTTAGGTAGGTTAGGTAGTCGAAAAATAATTAATTCATGAAAACTTGGCTTATTAGGCAAATCGGGTCTTGCATAGTAGGCTGAGAAGTGAGTTCTGGCTACTAGGTACGACATATATATATATATATATATATATATATATATATATATATATATATATATATATATATATATATATATATATATATGTCGTACCTAGTAGCCAGAACGCACTTCTCAGCCTACTATGCAAGGCCCGATTTGCCTAATAAGCCAAGTTTTCATTAATTAATTGTTTTTCGGCTACCTAACCTACCTAACCTAACCTAACCTAACCTAACTTTTTCGGCTACCTTACCTAACCTATCCTATAAAGATAGGTTAGGTTAGGTTAGGTAGGGTTGGTTAGGTTTGGTCATATATCTACGTTAATTTTAACTCCAATAAAAAAAAATTGACCTCATACATAATGAAATGGGTAGCTTTATCATTTCATAAGAAAAAAAATTAGAGAAAATATATTAATTCAGGAAAACTTGGCTTATTAGGCAAATCGGGCCTTGCATAGTAGGCTGAGACGTGCGTTCTGGCTACTAGGTACGACATATATATATATATATATATATATATATATATATATATATATATATATATATATATATATATATATATATATATATATATATATGTGTGTATGTATGTATATAATATAATGTCTATCCTACGCTTGAAACAATCCGGCTCATGTCTATTATATTACCCTATAACCTGTTCCATGAATTTTCAATAATATTTTTTCCAAACCTGTATATAACCAGATGTTTCCTTAGTTTAACATTATCCACATTTTATCCATTGTTTCGTGTTCTATTTTGTGGTGTTCAACGTTAAAGTTGAACACTTTAATATCTCCTTTATTATACCATTCACGCACCTGAACACTTCACTCACCTGTACACTTCACCCACCTGTACACTTCACGCACCTGTACACTTCACCCACCTGTACACTTCACGCACCTGTACACTTGACACACCTGTACACTTCACCCACCTGTACACTTCACGCACCTGTACACTTGACACACCTGTACACTTCACGCACCTGTACACTTGACACACCTGAACACTTCACCCACCTATACACTTCACCCACCTGTACACTTCACGCACCTGTACACTTGACACACCTGTACACTTGACACACCTGTACACTTGACACACCTGTACACTTGACACACCTGTACACTTGACACACCTGTACACTTCACGCACCTGTACACTTCACGCACCTGTACACTTGACACACCTGTACACTTCACGCACCTGTACACTTGACACACCTGAACACTTCACCCACCTGTACACTTCACCCACCTGTACACTTCACGCACCTGTACACTTGACACACCTGTACACTTGACACACCTGTACACTTGACACACCTGTACACTTGACACACCTGTACACTTCACCCACCTGTACACTTGACACACCTGTACACTTGACACACCTGTACACTTGACACACCTGTACACTTGACACACCTGTACACTTCACGCACCTGTACACTTGACACACCTGAACACTTCACCCACCTGTACACTTCACCCACCTGTACACTTCACGCACCTGTACACTTGACACACCTGTACACTTGACACACCTGTACACTTGACACCTGTACACTTGACACACCTGTACACTTGACACACCTGTACACTTCACGCACCTGTACACTTCACCTGTACACTTCACGCACCTGTACACTTCACGCACCTGTACACTTCACCCACCTGTACACTTCACGCACCTGTACACTTCAGGCACATGTACACTTCACGCACCTGTACACTTCACCTGTACACTTCAAGCACCTGTACACTTCACGCACCTGTACACTTCACCCACCTGTACACTTCACACACCTGTACACTTCACGCACCTGTACACTTCACCCACCTGTACACTTCACGCACCTGTACACTTCAGGCACATGTACACTTCACGCACCTGTACACTTCACCTGTACACTTCACACACCTGTACACTTCACGCACCTGTACACTTCACCCACCTGTACACTTCACGCACCTGTACACTTCACCCACCTGTACACTTCACGCATGCCGCACCTCGTAAGTTCTACAGGACCCCTTAGCTCGACACTTCCTATCTCATATATTTCAGTTTCGTTAATTTGTGTGGGAAATTTCCAGCTGTTTTGCCGATCTCGTGACTCCGTAGCGGCTTAGTTGGTGACTTGTGATTGATTTTTGCAGCTTTGTTGCACCTTTGCAACAATACTGCTGGATGTCTGCAGCCTCGTCGACGTCTCCAGAGCGTCGTCGGGGTCTCCAGAGCGTCGTCGACGTCTCCAGAGCGTCGTCGGCGTCTCCAGAGCGTCGTCGGCTTCTCCAGAGCGTCGTCGGCTTCTCCAGAGCGTCGTCGGGGTTTCCATAGCGTCGTCGTGGTCGCCATAGCGTCGTCGGGGTCGCCATAGCGTCGTCGGGGTCTCCACAGCGTTGTTTAGTATATGAGAAAGTCCCTCCCTGGTCCTCTGATGTGTCGGGTTCGTGTTGGTGTTAGTGTAGCTGTTATTCCGTGACAGTTAAGTTACCCCCTCCGTGTCCTGTGTCCAGGACCCGGCGGCGCCCGGGACATGTACCTGTCCTCGCTATGTTACAGCGTCCGACACTTACTAGGACGCGAGTTTCGTGTGTGTGTGTGTGTGTGTGTGTGTGTGTGTGTGTGTGTGTGTGTGTGTGTGTGTGTGTGTGTGTGTGTGTGTGTGTGTGTTTATCGGAATATACATGAGGGCCACTATCTCTCCACGGGGGACAGGAAACCGGCGGCTTGCCATCTGAAGTAATAATGTTTTGCCATATATGGATCTGACGGGTTGGAGATTCCATGGGTTTATTCCCCCTGTGGAGGAAAAAACATGTATTTTCTGTCCGGCACTGTGGCTGGTTGAGTTAGAAGTCGCTGCTCCTTTTTTGCGAGTTACAATGTACCTTTATATAATAACCATTCTGGATCAATACTCCCATGTTTGTTGTATAGTTAAAAGGTCTGGATGGGATGAATTGCTTGGTTTGTATAGTGTTGTTAGTGCCTAGACCCTCAACCTCTCCTGGTATGAGAGCTGACCTATTTCTGGGAGGATTTCTGTCGCTCTGCGCCCA